CCCCTTTCCTCGAAAAAAAATCAATAATCTAATGAAGTGTCTAACTTGATACGATCCAAATGTGGCTTCACTTAGCGTCGCAGAGTTTGCATCCTAAAGGGTCAAGAGGGACGTAAAAATTAATAACCGTAATAGTAGAAAAGGGTTATAACCAGAGATCGTACATAACAAGATTGTTGACTCATCCAAAAAAGTGTCCGCGGAAGTCCGCACATTGCTTCAGATGGCGCTACAGTCTTTGTTTTGAAGCTCTCTTTTGTTTCTCCAGAACAGGAATAGGAATAGCACAGTTTGTTAGTTTCGCTCGTATTGTTTTTCACACAAGTAGGGCAATTCTGTTCGCAATGTCAGCGCTTTTTCGAAGAGGGTGTCACCGAATTTTGATAACAATTTTTGCTTGGCTCAAAGAGAGTAGTGAACTATCTTGTTATGCACAATCTTTGTTATAACTCTGAAGGCAAGAAAACAATTGAGAGAGGGGAAGACAGGATGAAAAGAACAGGGAACTCTTTAATGTCGAAGTTTTTACACCCTCCCTACACAGATACAAAATGCTCTCTGACCTTTCCAAAAAGTGTTTTAAAAAACGAACAAGAGGAAGCTATTTAAAGAATCATTCGTAAAAGTAGATTATAGACTTCCATTCTTAAAATAAGTCAAAAGCATAGGCCGCACTTCTCCTCGACAACCGGTGGCCATCTTAGACTGTTTCGACTTTAATTGTAAGCATTTCTATGCGATACGCTCCTTATGCCATAGATTTGCTTCCAGCTCTCGTTCTCAGGTAAATCTCAGCCTTTTTTTCTTCCTTCTCTCCTTTGGATTCCATCTTAAAATCTTGTCTCGCTGCGCTGTTGGCTGGATTTTGTTGGCTGGATTCCTAAGCGTGTGCCTATTCCACCGCCATCTTCTTTTCTTAGGCTCACGTGTTAAGATTTAGTTTGTCCCTTTTCCCCCTATCACTGTCCTTTGTGCATCTTCTTGCAGTCTCATGTTTGTTATTTCAAGTTCATCTCTTCTATATAGGGTCAAATTGAAAGCTGAATTGAAATGCGCTCGTCAAAATCATAACATCGAAGAAATCGACCTTTCTCCACTCTTTATATCATTTTTTAATCATTTTTTAAAATTTTGAGCTCACTACCGTCAATTGAAAAACGTATTTGAATTTTGGATTTTACTGAAAAACGGTTAAGATCGGCGACATAAAATGTAAATTTAGAGTTTTCAAGGACATTCAGGCTTTGGGAGTCACTAAACTTCGGCGGCCATTTTCTTGCTGTATCTCTGACGCTATTCAACCCCTACCTCCGGCAGTCGCAAATATTTCGACTGCTACAAAAGATAGAAGATCAAATTTCCATCAAAAGCAAAGCAATTAAACATGTTTTCAGATGGTGCCTATAACTTCATACGCCCCCAAAAATGATGGTAGCGTGATTCCAACGTGTCTTTACGCAAATCGTTTGAACAACAATAGGGGGAGGTACACAGCTGCCTGCAATATGAGACCCAACTGCTCCAAAGCAAAAGACAGACCAAGAAAAAGATGGATCGACGGAGTGAGAGAAACCCTTCTTCTAATACGGGAGGGGGCCACTACGGATGGGATCGTTCGATCAGGCCGATCGTCCGACTCGGTCGCCTCAAAAACAAACTAATTGTTTGTTTTAAGTTTCAGACAATCGAGTCGGGCGATCGGCCCTATCCAGCCGTAGTTGGCACCCTGTATAAGGAACAACAGGACCATTCAAACAACCTGGCCCCCGCTCGATAATTGCATATATATCCCCTCCATACCTGCGGCTACAAGAAAACAGATACGAGAGCCATTCCACAATAAATGGCGGACGGGGCATTTAGACTACACTTTCTTTAAAAATTACCACATTGTAAATAAATGTCAGTTAATCTACTTCAACTTTAAAATAAATGATCTAACCTTTTGAAAGACATATTGTGAAACGTATCATATTATGCAGTCATTTGAAATAGAAGTACTTCATGCAAATTCTGTGACGTGTTAAGTTTCAGTAACTGACGGGACAATAAATGAGGCATCTTTCTCTGTGCCGTCAGTTACCATGTAACTGTCCTCAAGTAAATTAATTGTTGGCAAGGAGATTCAGAAGTTAAGTTGGTCGCTTTAAAGGTCAAGCGGGCTAACCCTTCGGTTTTCTTATAACTGCATTTTTCGGGATAGCCCCCTTGTACTTCAAAGCTACCAATTATTGTAACAGTTCTAAGCTATGAAAGCATTGTTTGTTTGTTTTTTAAACAACAACTGTTTAACTCTTACATTGTGTAACTACATAACGTATCTTTTCTTTGCTTTTTCTTGAAATGTATAATCTGAATTCCGTCAAAATATTATTTGAGCACGTGCAACCGATACTACAGATTTTTTTTAAAAACAGCAGTTCTTAAAGACATTTTAATTATTTTGTTTAAATTGAGGGGTTTGAGCTTTAGGAATATAATAAATAGTTAGCCGGAAAAATTGCAGTAGCAAAGTACAATAAACGTGAGTAAAACTGAAAATCAAAATGTCCGTGTCTGTCGAGACTCACCTTTGCTGTTCGTGTACAAATCCAGCAGGTCGACTCGTTCTAGCACAGAGTGTGGAGGTAAAGGGATCAACTCTACTCAATTCTCTTCTCGCGTGCTCGCACACTCGCTCCCTCGCTCACTCGCTCCCTCGCTCACTCGCTCACTCACGTCTGGCATGGCAAAGATGATGGGGAACTCAGGGGTGTGCCTATTGGTGCAACCGGTCTCTCTCATCTCTCTCTTTCTCCATCTAGTCTCTCTCTTGTCTTCCTCTCTCTCTCTCTCTCTCTCTCTCTCTCTCTCTCTCTCTCTCTC